GGTATTGCCTAACACGACGAGCTTAAGTAAATAGTCATGACATGAAATCATGGCGTGTATGTCATGAAGGTCATGATTTACATGTCAAGGTCATGCTGCTCCGGAGGTAGTTTCATTCATAGGACATATGGCTGAACTTTTATGGTATGACATGACTGCAAAACGAACGTGACAGATCCTCATGTGGAAATTAGGCACGCGTGTAATGTGACAACATGTCTATATGTCATGCTCATGACGCGCTTGCGGTCGTTTCGTCAGCTCACATTCAACAAATTTGGTATTACGTGACGTGAAATAATGATGAAGGTATATGGCTGATGCAAATATGATAATCGGGACATGCGTGTCATGTAAGGACGTGACTACATGCCATGCTCATGATTCTCTCACGGCCCTTTCGCTAGCTACAGCTATACCGAATTCGCTAATAAATGACGCGAACGGACCACGAAGGTAAATGACACGTCCAAACAAGATAGTCATGACATGCATGTCATGTAAAGCATCACTACACGCTACGCTCATTGTCTGCTCGTGGCCATTTCCCTAGCTTCACAAATACCAAATATGGCGTTACATGACGTGACTAGTTGACGGAGGTATATGACTGGTGTGAATATGATAATGATGATATGCGTGTCATGTAAGAACATGTTTAGATGCCCGGCTTATGACGCGCTCACTGTCTTTTCACTAGCTTCACAAACACCAAATTTGTTATGACATGACGTGAATGGACGACAAAGATAAATGACACGTCCAAACTTCAAACTGGTGACAAGCGTGTCACGTAAAACATGACTACATGCTACGCTAATAGCGCGCTCGCGTCCATTTCGCTAGCTTGACATATACCACATTTGGTATTACATGGCGCGAATGAACGACAGAGACAAATTCTAAGCGCAGACGTGATTATCATGACATGAAAGTCATTTACGGCATAACTTACGTCCACGTCGTAACGTTGTGCTGATTTTAGTGTGACATTTCAGCCTTTGTCATTCATGCTTCGCATATGCTCAATTGCCATTGTACGTGGGATATACCATTTTTCCATTTGCCAAGTGTACTGTCCTATTGCAGGACAAACAGGTGACGACTCGCAGAGAGTTTTGTGAAGGCAGAGCATCGAGGGAATAAAAAGCCCCCCGGTGTTTCACCAAGCGTTCTGAACCGGGCTTAAGGTGTTATGCGCCATCGGCTCTGCTGATTCCCGTAGGGTCGCCCTACAGACGGTTCGTTTCTGAAGTGCTTACTTTTTCTGTAACTTGTATGTCCGGGACTATGTATTACATCCTCTCCAGTCATTAACTATGAGTTTTTCCTCAATTTTATTAAAACTTCTACAGTTTTCACTTCCTCTTTCATCGACCAGCGAGTCAATCGCTGCTATTTGCATAGCGGTAGTACGTCACTTCCTCCCGTTTGCTATACCACCTCGGGTGGTGCGTCTCGGGCGCCGAATGAGGGGCGTGGTTCCCACAACACAAAAAAAACCTGATTTTTTCTTGCCGTCAAATTTACACTTCATTTTTCCCCCTTCATATCCAGGGTCTCTTTCTGGCAGACTTGACACCTCAGGTAGTGTTCGAGGGATTGCTGGTGAGCTGCCAGCTCATAACAAAATCACATGCTATTCGCAGTGTTCATACAATGTCCCGCCACCTAGCGGAATTCAGGACCGTCTTCTCAAGGTGATCAGTAGGCAGACGCTCCCAACGCTCCCTTGTTAGGCGGTGCTAGTCTTTGTGTTAACGCATTAGCAAGAAACGAACACAAACCACTTTCTATGTTGCGTGCATCAGTGAATATACGAGACCATCCATGACACGGCAGATCTGATTCATTCTTGCGAGAGGTGAAGTTTTTGTGGAAATACGTGGCAACTTGCAACTTCGATTATAGCACGCAGAATACACATATAAGCTTTGCGAGATTTTCTGCATCCACGTTGGATAGTTAAATCTTATTGTATAACCTTTGCAGTTGACACTCACATTGTTTTACGTGCGTATAGCATTCGTCAGTGCTTTTGTAGTGCATGAATCCTGTAACATTCATTGCAAGCGGAAAGTAGCGTGAGCTCACGATTTTCGCTTTCAAACCTTGGTCTACACTGTGCCGCTTGGTTTTCACGTTCGTTGATAGATGGCAGCACACTTCAAGTGATTTCTTTCTTGCCTGGTATCAGAGCGAAATGTTTTCACCACTCCCAGATAAACGTGGTGAGTGACGCCGTGACCGTGTCGGGGTTGTGCAATGATGCGTCGTTGGTGCTACCAAACTCATTCGGCAGAGAGAACTCTTCAGAATACTTTCGGCAGTGATGTTCAAAAAAACTGTTTTGACGTCGAGGATTTGCCCTGGTCGTAGATACTTGTCAATGCGCTGAGAGTGATGCGACGATGAACGATCAGCTGCTAGTTCAAGAGCAGCAAGTTACACTCCCCGTCCCGTCTTGCGTTAATGTTCTTTTTCACGCTCGTAAGACACTTTGATTGTATTTATTGTATATTTTTCTTCAGCGAGCTCAAAATAAAAACAAAACATTGTTTCTCTGGTGGATTACCTGTAGCCCAATACAACGAATATTACAAAACGCCGCATGCCACCAATACGCTCCAGCTCGACCAGCGAAGCGAAATGGTTAGAGCAGTAAAATATGCAGTTACGGGTCCAGCTAACTTCTCCTGCACTTCACTGGTGCCGTCTGAACGACGCTGTCGCTCGACGAATTTTCAGAATTTTGACGTTGCAAAAAGCGCACGCGTGTATTCGTTTCGATAACCTTGTTTCGATCACGCTGATGAAACCTGCAACATCCGAGTGCAGCGAATTGCGCACATTTAGAGTCTGATCATGGCTGTTACACAACCGCTACTTAATGGGAAGTTAAATGCATGTGTTACATTAAAGAAGTAGCTGCATGATGCTTGCAGCGCAAGTAATGACGACGACATATTGTGTTTGCAAACCGTTGCTGCGGTAAACATTCGGTCCTGTGCAGCCGCGACGGCGTTGTACTCACTACTGGCCTACTACGGCGGCTAATTTGCCTGGCAGCCTCGGCTCAAAGTCTTGGAGTGTCGTTCAGTTAATACGTGGATTCTAGTTCGCACAGTTTTCTGTAGCACGCACAGGATTACGCAAATCATCGTTGATACACGGACAATCAGCTGACACCACCACCCTTCACGCTTCGGCAAAAAATGAGGTTATGAGCATTCAACAGTTTTGGAAACCAGCCATTTTGGAAACCACCTCAAGCGTATTTGAACAAAAAATCTTGCTGATTTACAGCAATGAACTCAGTGAATTGCTAGAATATATAGGTGAGAAAAAAATTTTTGGTCACGTGGCTTCCTTCTGAATTTCCCGCAATATTGTCTGAATGTTGTTTGTGGAAAAACCTATTTGCAAAGTACCACTCGTTCTTTAAATGCCAAATTTGGTGTACATGTTAGGTAAAGGACTTCTGTAAGGTGTTTCAAGCTGAGTAATTATTGCAATTTTTCTGTCCCATACGCTTTCAAGAGTTTTCCGAAAAAGTGTAATGTTTGAATTTTTTCAATTGCAATGCTGCAGATTGTATTAATACCTGAGCAGTGAATACTTAATCGACAAAAAGTGTCTTTTCAGGATAAAATATACTGAAACCTCTGAAGCTGCTGAACTTTACGAGAAAAAAAATAAGTTTTACAAAATCGTCGCTTTTTTCATATTGAGACGCAATTTGCACCATGTGGTGGTCCAATAAAAGATCAACTTTATACGTCAATTGCATGCAAATAAAGAGTTCGTTCTATGTGAAAAACCGTATTTATACAATTTGTGTTTTTAGAGAAGAAAAAAATTTCGAAGTTTCCCATTGGCTGTCTTCCCAATTGGTCATACGACAGCTGCCACTTTGAAATTGCCCATTACCGTCAATAGCAAACTTCGTTTATTGCTGTGTTTCGATTTCGTTGCGAAAGAAATAAACAAACCCTTTTGAACTACTTGACTCGATTTGAAATGGTAAGCCTAAAAAATTGAGATAGTGAAGTGCAACCACTGAACATTCGCTGATATTTGTTTCGTGAGAAAACAGCTACAAGCCACTCGAACACACACGGAGCCAGAAGTAGGAAGATTAGACGAAACCGCCTACTACCTATCATTTCCATGTTCACACAAGCGCCGTGTGTGTCAGCTTCCATAGGCCATGCGCCAAAGTTCACTCTAGTGTATATTTAAGAGATTATGCCTGTGATGACCATTGTGTATAGCGTGAGCTTGGAGTGAACTGGTATCCAAGAAAAGCTCGGGTGATCCTGCATAGCACGTTGACCAATTTGGATGAACAGACTGCCCGAACATATCAAACAAACGCCGATCCAACATGATTTTTAAAGAATAACAAGTAAACGAAAGTCAACGTTTTAAACCTTCAAAAAGATCATGTGCATGGGTTCGCATTGATTGCAAGAAACCGCTGAAACAAAATTGATTTCGACACAGGTTCATGGCCAAATACATGATGGGAAAATATCACTAGAATGGCAACAACCGCAGTGGTAAGTGCCCTTTCACCCAAATGTAATGACTGGGAACTTAGGCTTCGTACCACTTTATGGCCTGTGATAATTGAGACACTGGGTCATGCATTAATTCTCCGCATATCACCAACACCTAATTTTAAGCCCCAAGAGACGCTGAGTTGTGTCTGAATAGTACTGGACATTATCGTTCATACACATTTCAAGAAGGCTATAAGAGCACAAAAATGATTATATAATGTCATCAAAGGTTTTTTGAGAACTGTTTGTGCCTTCACGTAAAAAAAGGACCCGCGCGAGTGAAAAATTAATTTTTCTTCTAATTATCAGGCTTCCCCATATCTAACTGCACCACCTGCTGCATTTGTAGAAAAACTTTCGCAGAAAACGAGTCCAGGACCCAGCCTGTGTGTTACGGCTGGTAACGGCGAGAGCTGACATTTAAAACGGCTATCATATAATATATAGACGACCCTATACTGTGGCCAATAAATCCTGATTGGCCACACTAAAGGGTAGTTATTTATTTTTTTCTAAAAAAAGTGACACAGGAAAATGGCGACAAATGATGAGCAAATCAATTTAGGTGCCAACAAAAATGAATTAAAAAACAAAATTTGGCCATGGCGAAATTAGTATAGCTCAGAAAGAGGCAATAACGCATCATCTTTTTTTTGTACCGAACCACTCTTCCTTCTTCATCAAAAATATTATGTCATAGGGATGCATGCATAATCTGAGAGGTGCCTCAAAAACGCCTTGATTGCGATTATACCCGCTGGTATTTTCAAGGTGCACAGTTATCAAAGCGCACGACTGTATCTTGCTCTGCATGCCCCCATCAAAATCAAACAACGGCTTCGAGGAACGGAACATCCGTAGAAAGCTTTTGTTGTAGAAGATAACATCCTCCAGCCTAAAGAGCAAGACGGGGACCATTTTTGTGTCCAAAATCTAGCTTCGTATCGCTAGTGCAGTGACCAGAGCGACCGAAACAGTCAATGGAATGGAAGAAGCCAGGCTGGGGCAACCGTTGTTGCCCTTCGGCTTCTCCGCAGGGATCTCATCCTGCTCTGAAGCGCAGTTGTAAGCGCCGAAGAAGGCCGATGGCAGCATGCTCACACTCTTGACGTCATGTTTACATTGCTTGCGGCTTTTCCCGATGCACTTGTGAACTGACGATATGTAGGAGCTGAGAAGAAAAAAAAGAGAAAGCGTATGCAGAGAGAGAAAACAGGTCACTGAAAGTACGCACAGTACATCTGTAGGCAGAGACTTGTGATGTCAAATGTTTGTGGCCATCGTGAAAAGAGGGCCTATGGTGAGATTGGTGAGACGGAGAGTGGTTACTAGCAAGGATTACGTGCTCGCCAGTGTACATATAGCTGCATCAATTTAAAAGGTAAGGGTTGCTGCCAGGTCTCTTTAGTGGCCGTATGTCACCATTACGGTGGTTATGGAGGCATAGAAACATTATGTCAATTCGTAAGCTATAGCCAGCACCCACCACGAGCTAATGTAATAAGAAATCTTACTACGATAATATTCGCTTTTAAACACACTTGCATTGTCAATAAACTTGAAGCTGCTCAAAGTTAAGCCATGAGAATAACCTGCCCTAAGTATTCTCGACAAGATTCAACAAAAACAATTATTCTCTTTAGCATTCATTATAAAACACAATGCCAGTCAGCTCTCTGTAATTGCTCACTACTGTGCTTTTTATTCTAAGACCTTCTGAGCTTTATTTTTGTAGCAATGGGAAATATATAACCTCTCGAGGTGCCTGATTGCAGGCACCGTCATCTCATGCTCTGAATAAAGTTGCAATTCATAACATCTCCGCGCTCATTGTATGTCCTATGTGGGAGGGGAAGAAGGTGAAGGCTGCTCGCAGGCAAGTGTGACTCAAGCAGATATAAAACGCGCCGACCGACTCCATTAGCCGAAGGGGCAAAGAGGTGCCATTGGCTGAGGAGAGGCCGTGTCGTTCGAGTAGCCTCTGCTACCTTTGATCAAAAGGGCATGGTCAAGTGCGCTGCATGCGAGCTATCTTTGCCGAGATCAAAAGACTGCTCACACCTTTGTCCGTGCTGTGCTCACGTCATTTACTTCGAGTTCAAGCGACAGACAGCACGAAAACCAGTTGGCTCACAGGAGTGTCTGCATTCTCTTAAGCCGGCGTTTTGTTGGGTAATGCCAGATCGAATTCCAACAGTGTTAACTGCTAGCCAAACTTTCTATAACTTACAATTCATTGATCATGCATTTATCGATTCATTCTTGTGGGGAAACTGGCTTTTTCTTATTCAATATTAAGAAAGAGTGGAGCTGTTCACCAAATTTACAAACATTTACGTTGTTTAACATGCATGCATCATTCTTGATGCTTTTTTGTTTATTCTTGTTTTTAATGTACCCTTTTTTCACCCTCATAGTCTGCCATTATTAGAGCTCTAAAATTACCCGGTCAAAATAATATCTAAGACGTACTTCTGAAATTTTGGCGTAAGTTTGTGAGCAGCATACGGTTTTGAAATCTTAGCACGTGAAACAGGTAAGCCCAGCTGAATTGACGAGCTATGACTGCATATTATATCTTTCTTTCTTTGAAGCTGTCAGAGGAGTTCAGAAAGGTCGTACTCATTTATGATATTTTCAACTGCTGCTCGTCACGTTCCTCAAATGGTGCTATAGCTATTCATTTTACTTTTATCAGTCGCCTAGTCACAATGCCTCTTAAGGAATCAATGAGACTTTTGTGCCATGACAGGTGATAGGAAGCCCCGCCGTGGTGGTCTAGTAGCTAAGGTACTCGGTGGTCTAGTGACTAAGGTACTGACCCGCAAGCGCCGGGATTGAATCCCAGCTGCGGCGGCTGCATTTCCGATGGAGGCGGAAATGCTGTAGGCCCCTGTGCTCAGATTTGGGTGCATGTTAAAGAACCCCAGGTGGTCGAAAGTTCCGGAGCCCTACACTACGGCGTCTCTCAGAATTATATGGTGGTTTTGGGACGTTAAACCTCACATATCAAATCAGGTACCAGGAGGAGGAGGAGGAAGAAGAAGAAGAAGAAGAAGGAGAAGGAGAAGAGGAAGGAGGAGGAGGAGGAGGAAGTGGAGGGAAACTTATATTTAAGGCTTTTCTAAGCGATGCAGGGAAATTAGCGGCAACGAAGATTTTCTTGTGCACTGGAGCGTGGCATACATGCATATGTGGCTGCGTTAGTCTTATAGTGAGCGAAAAATTCTGCCAAAATTACGCCTGCTTTGTGTTCACGTTTCATATATGCAATAACACGAAAACCTCATCATCATTTTGTAATGAGTGGGAATAATGATATAGTCACGGGTTTCCCAAATACCGAAAATGAGGGATTCTACAAGAAGAGACCAGGCCGGCTTCCTGTGCTCCGATGCCACTCGGAAGAAGGAAACTCGTGAAGCACCACATGATGCGTGCGTTATAGGAACTGGTATTCACAAATAGGTTTGTATGCCCACGATGTGCCCTCGTGAACGGACCCCACCGTGTGAACAAATTGCACAATGAAACCGGTCGGTCAACGGTGGCTAGCTTTTTACCTCTTAACCATAACAATAGCTGCTTTATGAATGACGTCTCGGATACTGACCTGCACTCCTCCGTAGAGAGTAAGGCCTTGCTGAGGTCGATGGGAGATTCGGTCACACAGCGTTTAAACTCTTCCACATTCCAACAGGAGGCCGCGAGGCGGATATCTGGACAGAAAGTGGTGTGACATTTTTGTTACAATAATAGGAAAAGTTGGGCTAGTTGGTGGTTCATATTCGGGAAGTGAAAACAGCGCAAAAATATAGACATTGAGATAAGTGCACCAGGGAAGTGATGGAGGCATTTTTCATTGAAAAGGAGGGGGAAAGGTGTGTAAGCAAGCCGTCTGTGACCCTTGGTGAAAAAGAAGTTCGGTATCTGGGTTTAGCGCTGCCATGTTAAAGTGATTGTTAGTTTGTTGGGGATCGTTCCGTAAGTTTTTGGCAAGTAGGAAGGCATGTTTTGTTGTGTTTTTTTGTGGTTGTTACACACGTGTTAATGATCAACATGCTTAGGCTTGTTTTATACCTTGTTTGCTTTGATGCGCAGACGCCTTTGGTTGTTCACGTGACCGGGTCAAATGCTTGATATATGTAAGTGTATCTTTCAATAATGTTTAGTTGCGAGTTCAGCGTGGTGTCGTCTCTTCCTCTGTCGTTGTCTTTATTTTTGCGCTGTTTTTACTTCCAAAGCATTTTTATTATCTGGCAAAATACGTACCACAAATATGATAGAGCACAAAGGAAGTGTAAAGGCTGAGAAATGGCACACAAGGCCGGGGGAGGCGCACATATCAATCCCTATTTTTAGTGAAGACGAATTCTATAATTAAAAAAATAAAAGTAGGAGGGTAAAACTGGGGAAAGTTAGTAAATAAACAAACCCCAATTGAGACAAAAATAACGCAGCAATATATATATATATATATATATATATATATATATATATATATATATATATATATATATATATATATATATATATATATATATATATATATATATATATATATTACCAAGCGTGTTCTTCGGAGGAGTACATAAAACAGGAGGCTGAGAGCACGCCACACGAACGTCGTCTTTTTTTCTCTCACTGGCACAGAGCTACTGCCGAAGTGCACCGGTACAATTTTCTCCCTTCACAAAGAGGGGCCATCCTCGTGACGGCGATTTCAGGAAAAGACGCTATATGTGGGTCATAGCATGGTTTAAGTCGCGTGACGTGAACTGCTTCGCGGCCTCGGCAGCGATGATCGGGCGATGAGTCGACCAGCTCGACGACGTAGTTTACGGGAGATGTCTGTTCCAGCATGCGGTAAGGACCGTGATACCATGACAAAAATTTGGTGGAAAGTCTGGGAGTTGTGGACGGAACCCAGTGCCAAAACAGCTTTCCCGTGATGTAATGGGCATCAGACGCAGAGGTGTCATGACCAAAGTTTCGGCGCGACTGATCTTGCGTGGTTTAGAGCGAGCCAGTTTACGGCATTTTTCAGCGTAAGCAGCAGCTTGGGAGATGGGTTTGCCCTCAGAAACATCCGGTTGGTACGGCAGAATGGTGTCCATAGAACGTGAAGGTTCACGTCCATACAGGAGAAAGAAGGGAAAGTAGCCAGTGGCAGTTTGAGACGCAGAGTTGTAGGGGACGAAAGGGAGTACGCGGTCCCAGTTTGTGTGGTCTTCCGACATGTACATCGCCAGCATGTTGGCAAGGGTACGATTGAAGCATTCTGTCATGCCGTTAGTTTGAGGATGGTATGCGGAAGCGGTGCGGTGTACAATCCGGCATTTTTTGAGCAATCTAGATGACATTTGAGAGGAAGACGCGGCCACGGTCACGAAGTAATTCACGTGGGGCCCCATGGCGCAGAATGAGATGACGAAGAAGGAACCATGTGACGTATGTCGCGGTGGCGGCTGGTAGCGCAGATGTTTCTGCGTACCGCGTGATGGGGTCGATGGCGACTACTATCCAGTGATTGCGATTAGTAGTGGTGGTAAGTGGAACAAAAAGATCAATTCCGACGCGGTCAAATGGTCCGGTAGAGCGGAGCGATGGCTGTAGAGGACCAGCGGTGCTGTGAGTTGGAACCTTGCGTCGTTGGCACGCAGGGTACGACTGAACGTACTGGTGAACGTATTGATATATGCCTCGCCAGTAGTACCTCAGGTGAAGATGCGAGTACGTCTTGAACGTGCCAGCGTGACGGCACTGATGGCCGTCGTGGAACGCGCTGCAAATGTCCGCGAGCAAATGACGGGGGATCACGAGGAGCCACCTGCGGCCGTCGTTCAGGTAATTTCGACGATACAGCAAATCTTCACGAAGTGCGAAGTGTTGGACTCTACGACGTAGGGTGCGTTAGGCGGAGTTCGGGGCCCGTTGAGACAAAATGTAAAGCAGGAAAGCAAACCAGGGATCCTTGCGCTATTTTTCCGGCATGTCGGTGATAGTTAGAGATTATGAAAAACAGTTGGAAGCTGGTGAGCCGGCAGAGTCGGAAGGCAGTGGCGATTGAGATAGGGCGTGAGCGTCCAAGTGTTTTCGTCCAGAGCAATAAATCACATGTATATCATACTACTGGAATCGTGAAGCCCAGCGAGCCAGGCGTCCAGTCGGGTCTTTCAAGGACGACATCCAGCATAGCGCGTGGTGGCCGGTAATAACATCAAACTGACGCCCATAGAGGGAAGTTCGAAATTTACCAATTGCCCAAACAATTGCCAAACACTCCTTTTCTGTGACGGAGCAATTTAACTCCGCCTTTGTGAGGATACCACTGGCATAGGCAACAACGTACTCGCCAAAGTCTGGTTTTTGCTGAGTGATAACTGTGCCAAGGCCGACACCGCTAGCATCCGTGTGTATTTCTGTAGGCGCGTCGAGATCATAGTGGCGCAGAATTGAAGGAGACGTGAGGAGTAGGCGAAGTGTCGTAAATGACTCATCGCAATTGGCATTTCAAGCTAGACAGGTCGTTGCTGCTGGCGAGAAGCTTGGTCAAGGGGGACATAATGAACGCAAAATTGTGGATGAAGCGCCGAAAATATGAACACAGCCCAATAAAGCTTCGGAGTTCCTTTAGAGTGATGGGTTTAGGATATTCGGCAACTACTCGAAGTTTGGCAGGATCTGGCGAAATTCCTTCTTTTGAGACGACATGGCCTAATATGGTAAGCTGACGGGCGCCAAAATGACATTTATTTAGGTTTAACTGCAAGCCGGCGTTAGTGAGGCACTCGATAACTTGTTCAAGGCGAGTGATATGAAATGGGAAATCTGCAGAAAAAACCCCTATGTCATCCAAGTAGCATAAACAGGTCTGCCATTTGAGGCCTCCGAGAATAGTGTCCATCATCCTTTTGAAGGTAGCAGGTGCGTTGCAAAGGCCGAAAGGCATTATGTTAAATTCGTATAAACCGTCAGGGGTGACAAAAGCTGTATTTGGACAGTCGGTTTCAGCCATGGGCACTTGCCAGTTGCCTGAGCACAGATTCAGTGGTAAGAAATATTCGGCTCCTTGAAGGCAGCCCAGGGCGTCGTTGATGTGGGGTAGGGGATAAACATCTTTCCGCGTAATCTTGTTTAGGTGGTAATAGTCAATTCAAAATCTTATCGTACCGTATTTTTTCCGCACCAGCACGACAGGAGAGGCGCAGGGACTGTTTGATTCTTGAATCACGCAATGTTTTAGCACGTCATCGACATTGCCGCTAATAACGCGGCGTTCGGCGTGCTATACTCGGAAGGGACGCTGTCGCAGGGGAGCATGATCACCGGTTTCAGGACGATAAACGCCTGCAGACGTGAGCCCCAATAATGGCTGGCCAATGTCGAAACAGGCATGAAAGCGTTCAAGCAGTTGAACAACCCTTGTGCGCTGGACTGGCGTAAGCGCCTTATCGATGCTGCGCAGGAGGATGTCTTGAATAGGAGAGGTGGTAACCGCGGCGTATGTGACGGCATTTGTCGTCAACGGTGTCTTATCGGACTTTGCATCCAATGAGAAGATGGCGCTAAAAGTGCCTAAATACCTAACAAATTTGCCGCGTAACAGAGTTGCTGAGCAAGGAAAGAGATTGCACGCCTAGGCCACACCGGCACCATTCACAAAGGTAACAATGGCAAATGGAAGTATGAGGTTCCGTCGGCGTTCACAGTCTTCAGACGGCGCAAACAGGGCGGTGAAATCACGAACAGTGTCAGAGGAAACGGACACCAGGGTGGCAGAGAACGAAGAAATGATAGCGTCAGCAGCGACAACCAATTTAGGCACTGGGCTCGGGACGCCGATGACTGTGGTACTGAAAGGGGACAAAGCGAGTCGAGCTCCAGCGCAGTCAACGACCACATCATGTGTAGAGAGGAAGTCCCAACCGAGGATCACGTGATGGGACGCATGTAGTTGGACAACGAACTCCACAATGTAGAATGCGTCATTGATAAAAAGACGTGCCGCGCACGCCGCCACCGGTTTAATGCGCTGCGATCTTGCCGTCCGTAATAAAATATCAGAAACGGGTACCGCCACTTGCTGCATTTTGCGGCACAAAAGCTAATTTAAAACAGAAACATCAGTTCCTGTGTCGACAAGAGCGTTCGTCGCGACACCATCAATAACAGCCGCGATCTCGTTCGGAGACGAAAGATGAGGCCTTGAAATTTCTGAAGAGGGTGCAGTTCGTGCCTCAGGAACTGCGGCTCTTAGTTTTCCTCTTGCGTGGGGTTGGTACGGTGGAGCATAAGAGAAACGGAGCGGCGCCGAGGAGGAGGTAATCAACGTGAGGGGAAAATGGCACGGCGCGAATAAGCGGCCGATGAGTCGGCGAAAATAGGGTGTGCTGGTTGCTGTGACACGTATTCAAAGTTGGGGATGTAATCATTGACATAAAGACTGCGCTGACGACAACACTGACGTGAAACATGGCCAGGAATGCTGCAGGCGTAGCAGATGGGCCTGTTGTATGAATGGCGCCAAGAGTTGTGAGGTGGTCCGGGAGGCGAGAGAGGTTGCGCGACAACAGGGCGTGTTGGGTGAACAGGGCGTGGTGGCAAGTAGAAGTTGGTGACTTGGGCGGATGGTGTTGGCATCGGTCAAGCATAGGAACTGGTAACGGCCTCAGCATAGGTGAGAGGCGCTGCAGGCTGCAGGAGGTGGAACTGCCGA